TTCTACTTGGACAAGGGAACACCTATGGGAATAAATACAAGGCCCCCTAGGAGGAGAGGGGACACGGACAATCGACGACCACCTCAATCAACACCCACCACAATCTACGGAATAATAGATCAAGACACAAGATCAACATACAAGCCAACATACGCCAAGACAAGACGCCGGATATCGACTTCAGGGATAAGCACGACTAGTCCCCTACGGTGTCTCTGGATACTGTCAGGAGAGACGGAAGCGCTATCTCTGATCTCGCCGGGCACGGATTCGAGAAGGAAGACTACCCTGTTGTCGACTACGAGTCAGAACTTCAGACCGCCATGTCGACAACAGTTAGATAGGCTACCCCAAATATTGTACTGGTGTGATTATGGTGAATAAAGAGCAACGACCGGTTTCGGCCAACAGGATGTTGGGTTATTACCTGATAATTCAGGGACCCGAACCTATATAAAAATCTCTATCTCCGTCTCGTTTACCTCAGTCTCGCATATATCCTACTAACAACGATCCTCATACTATGTAAATACCAGAACCGCGACATCAAACGTCGACAGTATTATTGCTAGCTTTCTCTCTGTTTTTTTTTGATAAGCTATATTATCTCAAAAGTTTCTAGCCTTCTATCTTGTACATAGTTGATCTAAGAAATAGGTTACATCGAAGTCTATAAATTTAAAATGGATTGGTGACTGGATTATTTCTGTGGATTACATATTTCATTATAGGGATAAATTAGATATTTTTAGAAAATAATAAAATAATGAAATAAGTGGTCTTACTATACAATGGAATAAGTTTTTTTTGGGAAATGTATTTTTGAGCAACTAATTAATTGAATGATTTAGTAAATAAGCTGACAACATGGCAGTCAAGCCGTCTAACTACCTAGCAAATCAATTAATCCTCGCTCGGCGAGTGTGTAACACATTACTCCCTCCCTCCATTCTAAATTGATCTACATATTTCATAGGTACACCAAAACCAAGAAAAACTAATAACTCTCTCATACTATATTTACTCTAAAAACAAGCTCGATGCATACACCATCCCATTATTTTCTATTCAATAGCAAATCAAGATATTGCATGTGGGTTATAAATACTTGTGTGCATGGATACATGTATCAATGTCCATTTACTCCAATATTAATGCACAAATACTCCAACGAATAGGCTTAATGAATGCACATAAATATAATGATAATTTAGGAATAACCTAAAAAACTATATATAGATCAATTTAAAATAAAGGGAGTATCTTAGAAAATTTCCACGGCAAACACTAATTAGCTAGGTTTCCATCAAGCTAATTAGCGAGGGTGTAACACATTATCTTCATGACCATCTTCCGAATTTTGGCCATGCTCTATGATCAGCTGCCATCGCATGCATGCATGCCTCGATCTGGCGGTGATCTCAGTAACCGAATGCTTATCGGAGTCAACATATCGCACATGGCCCTGCTTAGTAATTAAGATGCAGATCATCAGTGAGCCTTAAGCCCTTAATTAGCACAATTTTATTAAATCATTGAGTGTATTATTATGGCACGCGTGGTATAATTAGCAAACAGCTAGCTAACAGCCCACATTTCAAAAAGTCAATGTATGAACCTTAACAACGCTGCTATACGTCCGACCAGCGTACGACTCAACGGCGAAATACACGGCGCAAGCCCAATTGAATTAGCGATCGTTGCAGAAGTTACGGACGGCGGACGGCCAATGACGTAGTCGTGCGCTGGTCGTACGCGTCGGTTGGACGTATAGCATTTTCGGAACCTTAATTACTCCCTCCGTTTCACAATGTAAGTCATTCTAACATTTTCCATATTTATATTGATGTTGATGAATCTAGACATATATATCTATCTAGATTCATTAGCACCAATATAAATATGGAAAAAACTAAAATGACTTACATTGTGAAACGGACAAATAGTTTTTTTGTTCCAAAATCGTGAGAGCAAAAGGATCACGGATGGATTCGCGACATGTGCTGGGAACAGGGCATTTCCGGATTAGTCGTGCAGATAAGCTGATCCGAGCACTTTCCATTTGTATTAAATTTGCTCGCTCATAGTACTGCTGATGTGATGCAAAGATTATCTTAGTCTAATTTTGTTGCACCTTCTTCTTTAGGTACAACGTATAATAATGATCAGAACGCGTGACATGCATGTACGTGCTGGTTATTACTCCCTTCGTTTCAAAATATTTGACACCGTTGACTTTTTTTAAGTACGTGTTTGACCATTCGTCTTATTAAAAAAATTTAAGTAATTATTTATTCTTTTCATATCATTTGCTTTATTGTTAAATATACTTTCATGTACACATATAGGTTTACATATTTCACAAAAATTTTTGAATAAGACGAACGGTCAAACATGTGCTAAAAAGTTAACAGTGTCAAATATTTTGAAACGGAGGGAGTACGTGACAGTACGCCAATGTCTGCAGTTAATCAGGACTCAGGAGCATCCATGCATGCATGTTTCCAGGATATCAATACGAGCCCACTACACCTCCAATTATAATTAAGTTGGCATAGGTAATTTGGACAGCTAGCTAGCGCGTCTTCGTGCGTACCAATTAGAACAGGCTATAAATGTAAGCCCTCAGTTTCATTCACATTTCACCACTCCTCCGGTGACAGTGAGTGAGCCGAGGGTTTTCGATATCTGGATAGGAGCAGACTCATCGCTAAATGTCTTACCCGACTATTCAAAACACCGGAGTACGTGGGTCCGTGACGCTGACGCTGTGAACTAGCTAGCCATGGCCATGGCTGCTTCTTCTTCTTCCTCCTGGTGCGCACTGAAACAGTCATGCGTGGCCCTCCTGATGGCTTTGGCTTGCTGCCTAACTACGTGCGCGCGCGGCGCAGTCGAGGCGCTGTACGTGCTGGGCGACTCGCAGGCGGACGTAGGGAACAACAACTACCTGCCGGCGTCGCTGCTCAAGGCCAACTACCCTCACAATGGCGTCGACTACCCGGGGGGCAAGCCCACCGGCAGGTTCAGCAATGGCTACAACTTCGTCGACTTACTCGGTGAGTGTATATCTCAAGGCCATTCATTAGCTAGTTAATTATAGTACGTTTATTAGTAATATATATATTGAGTCAAAAATATATTTTGATAGCTGATATTTTTGGGATAATCGATCTAACATTCAACGCAAAAATCCCTCTAAAAATATATCAAATATAACTACGATAAATATATATATATATAATTATGGTGTAATTATAATATAATTCGCATGTACTTACGTCCCTAAAAAATTCAAAAGTTGTGCTGGCTTAGTGGGGGCTGCCTGCGGTTGTCAGTTTGACCCTCACCTCGCGCAATGTCCTCTGATTTTTACCCAATACAACATGCATAGATCGTATAGCCCATTCGGTGGCTGAAAATTTGATACGATTTTTACCAATTTTTTTTGTCGAATGTGAAATAACTAGGCTGTAAACTTTTTGGTGTATTCGGATGCACCAACACTCTAGCTCACCCATAGACATCCAGGCGGTTGCTATAAAAATAGCAAGGCACTATTATTCCCCGGGTGAGGGCGTTCACACTGCATCACCGTGACGTTCAGCCCTCGAGACGCCAACAGAGATTTGGACTGCCACGTTCTCGCCACTGCTGCGCTCCTGCGAGGAACGTGCTACCAAACTATGACGCGCGAACCTCGTGTTAGGTGAGGCCGCGTGATGGGCGGAGCGACGGGATAGAGTCTGCATTGGACCTGCGATGCTGTCCGGCCCCCACACGGCACACCCCCACTCCCACAAGCCACCGCGGGTACCTCACCCAACTCCGGTAAGAGAACAAAAGGGGCAGCAACAGCGAGATGGGGGAAGAGGGGCCTACCTTTCCAGCCGCCGCTAACCGGAGAAAGAAGAGAAGACAAAAGATGGAGGAGAGGCACATAGCCTTGCAGGCCTCGTCGGCACGAGCCGCCGCCGGATTCCGAGGGGCGAAGCTCAGCAGCGGCGTAGGCCCAAGCCACCGTGGGGACCTCGTAGCCCGTGCACTACGCCACTACCCCGATCTGGTCGGCGGTCACCCCGATCTACTCATCGCCACAGGTGTCGGCGATGGGGAGGGGAGGGAGAGGTGTCGTCAACAGGGAGGGAGGGGAGAAGAACCGGTGATGGAGAGGGAAGGGAGAGGTGCCATCTTGTTAATAGAGAAATAGAAAGGGCTAAAATAGAAAATATGAGGGGCTAAAACAAAAAAACGAAGCCACACATAGAGACCCATGCATTGTGGGAGACAATTTTTTTTAAGGTGTGGTTTTAGCCCATGGCACGTGAGGCAGGCCAAATTCTTCTGGCACACTGTGAACGCCCTGAGCATACGGTATGATCATTATAAATGATCTCTTGTGTCAGTGCCTGCATGTATGTACTACTTTCGCAAGATCTATAATTCTTAGAGCATGATCAATAATAAGGTAATTTAGCTCCAATTATGTCCAACTCATCTATAACTTACTTTGCAGCTTGTACACGCAACATCTAGTTGTATTGTTGGGTCCTATATGCTTCACATCACTATTAAAAAATTGCAGCATCGATCCTATGTTGCAATTTTTGCATAGCAGCATTTCTCTCACTCTCTCACGTCCAACGTTTTTATCTAGAGATGCGTGTTGCAGCCCGATGATAAAATTGTCGTCCGCTCGCGCCAGCTCATGCATGTTCTCTCTCTTTAGCTCTTTTCCCTATATCACCATTGCTATCTACGTGGACTTAGTGTCGCCTGACTAATGTACCTGCTCTTAAGAAAACTACGAAGACCCTTGCTCTTAAGCAAACCATGCATGGTTAGGCACCGTAAAACTTCGCCACCGCTAATCGATTAACTTCGCCACCGCGCAGAGCGCTTGCTTGGCTAGAGCCAAACAAAATAGGGAAGTTCTAAATTAAATAACATGCCGAAAGTAAAGGGGAATCAGAGGAAAAATTAACTATGTGTAGTATAGCTTCAATAGGGCAGGCTAGCTAGTAGCTTAGCTTCAGCATACACATGCATGCACACCCGCTGTGAACGAAGGAGCGAGCGAGCGACGATGGGTTCTTGCACATTGTCCTCCGGCGGCGTCTGCGTCGTCGTCGTCCTCCTGTGTTTGGCTGCTTGCTGCCTAACGTGCGCGCGCGGCGCTGTCCCGGCGATCTACGTGCTCGGAGACTCGCAGGCAGACGTAGGGAACAACAACTACCTGCTGCACTCGCTGCTCAAGGCCAACTTCCCTCACAATGGCATCGACTACCCGGGGGGAAAGCCCACCGGCAGGTTCAGCAATGGCTACAACTTCGTCGATTTAATCGGTGAGTATATATCCATCATCATCGATCGATCGCTGCGTACACGTACGTACGGCCATTGTCCACAGCGTATTTTTATGTCAAACTGTTTTCATGTGCTATGGACGCTCGCACCCTACGTGGAGGATATGTGTCGTCCTAGAATGTTTAAGCATGATTGCAAATCTAAGTGCCTCATCTTTTCGTTTATACTTATACTTATCAGCTAAAATTTAAATTTTCAATCTTAAATTTGAAGTTGATTTTGAGGTTTTTCATCAAAGTTTATTTGCTAGACTTTGCTTTTAAATCGATAAGAATACGTATATAAAAGTTTTATTCATAAATTACTTTTCGTTTTTAAATATGCCGTTTGGCTTATTCCATGAATAAGCAATGGTCACCTAACACAATAGGTGTTTTCGGTAGTGCTTGCTATTACAGCAGCGTGCAGGCGACAGCAACTAAAAACGGCCACAGCCTAGCACTGCAGTAGCTAGCGTTTCAATCAGCCCCTATGTTGACGAGAGTATGGTTTTTTTTTTTTTAGTTTTTCAGTTATCACCAAATGTATTCATGTGCATATGCATATGTGTTTTACCGATATTTATGTATTGTATTAAAAGTGTTACTCCCTCTGTATTTTAATGTATGACACCGTTAACTTTTTAACAAACGTTTGACCTTTCGTCTAATTCAAAAAAATTATGTAATTATCATTTATTTTATTGTGACTTGATTTATCATCAAATGTTCTTTAAGCCTAACATAAGTATTTTTGTATTTGCATAACAAATTTGAATAAGACGAATGGTCAAACGTTAGTTAAAAAGTCAATGGCGTCATACATTAAAATTAAAATACGGAGGGAGTATATAATATTGAAATATACAAACAGTAAAATGGGATTTTCGCAGGCACCCTCCTAAGCTGCAGAGGCAACCCAAAAGGGAAAGCGCTTGTGCAACGCTTAGATCAGAAAATCCAGCTTAGTAGGAATTATTTAATGACAGAGAGTTCGAGTTTATGAAATTAAAATGAAACTTCCGGACATGGGGTTGCATATATACTGGAACTTAAGTCTAAAATTAATGGAATCTTCCGGACGAATTGTTTGAATCAAATAGTAGAGAGCTCGAGGTTTGGGAAAACCAGATCTGAGCCCCCTCCGTTTAATTTGTACGCCAATATGAACATGTTGGCAGGTCCGATCCAGCACTGACTGATTGTTATTCTCACAACTAGGATGGTAGCTCGCGCATTCGCGCGGGCATTCATGAATCATTGCTTAAATGTTTCTTTTAAGATATTTGTTAGTTTACAATATGTAAATTTGATTCATCTATATAAGCACCTATCTATAAAGTTAATCATCTTTATCATTTAAGAAGACGTAGGTCTTAATCCAAATTAAAGTAAGGTGTTGTTTTTATTTTTAATTAAATGTTTTGGGCTCTTATTTAAAAAAAATTCTCAAAAAGGTTATTTATAATAAATGTGTTTTATTCCTTCTTTTAATTGGTTCACAATTGATGCAATTTTTTATACGTACTTATGTATGAATCAATAAAAATATAGAGTAGATATATTCTAGACCTCGCTTCCTATAATATGTGTGATCTATATATTTGTTTAAATACATTTAGTCAACCCGAGTGTTAAAACCCAAATTTAATAGTAAGAAATATAATATTCAAAGCCAACTATCTTCTGCTATGGCATAGAACAGAGAGAAGTCTATTGATATGTAGTCACTTAAAAATGATGAAGTGGTTATGCATGGTTATCTCAATTTAAGGGAAAGTTATGAACCACAATGGTTCTAAGAAATTATAAGGTTTTCTAGAATTGGTTCATTTTACACTTTTGTTTTATTTTATACAAATATTATTTTAAGTTCAAATGTATGATATGACAAATAGTGACATCATTACACCCTATGTGTCAACTTTTTTTAAAAAAAAATTATCAATAAGCAAGTAAGATTGGTATAGATTTTCATTATTTATTAATAAATGGATTATATGGGACATAAGGCTATGGTAAATTGATGGGTTTGTATACTCCAATATATTTGCATTATGTGATAGATAATTCATTTGGGAACGTTTTATATATAATGTGTGAGGCTCTACACAACCATTGTGAATACGATTTGATGGCTAATAATACATCATAGAGAGAGGGAACCGAATGGGTAGAGGGACCGATATATACATGTATGTACTAAGTACGCATGTACATGATGGAAGGGAGGACGTGGCACACGTGGGCCTTTCAATTGTTTAATAACAAAAATCTAATTAGTCCACCATGTTTTATGGAAAATCAATGGTTGTGAATGGACTTGAATTATTTATTTTCGTTTTTCATCTAATCTAAATAAAAAAGAAAAAAATAGAAAAAGAAGTAGGGTGGGATGATACGTACGTACAAACGTACATGCTGTACAGGTACACGGACCGAGGGATAATTTAAGAGAGATAAATTGATTTGGTAATTTTGTACTCGCAAGATAGATCTAACGGTGGTTGATTTGGTAATTTTGTAAAATAGATCTAATGGTTGAAAATAATGGGTCTACCCGATTAAAAGAAAATCAACGGTTAGATGTTTTGTTTTTTACTTAGAATTTTTAGGATTTATCAATACGCCACGTGGCGACTTTGGAGCGTTTTTAGAAGCACCACGTGGCAGCTTGAGAGCGTTTGTAGGAAGTTTCATGGACTTTTAGTATATAAAATAAAATAGAAGATAGATAGATCTTTTGAAACTTGACATTATTTTTGCTTTATCTCTACTCAAAAAAAAATTTCGTTGGTGTGTGTGTGTTTATATATATATATATATATCTCTTTTTGTTGTCTTTTTTTTTAACCTTTTTTCCACATTGCAGCTATCAGTCTCGGGGTGCCCAGCCCTCCTCCATACCTCTCTATAAGCAGCAAACCAATGAACAGCTCCGTATATCTGAAGGGTGTCAATTTTGCTTCAGGAGGAGCAGGGGTGTCTAATCTCACAAACCTGGTAGTACTACAACTTAATACTAGGGTCGAAATAAAGAAAATTGAGTGATGTTTCGGTGCTCTCTACCTATAATATTATACTACCAGTATATTATTATAGGTAAAATAGTAATTTACTAATACAATAATTATGATTTACTTTGTCATTTATATATGTTTTTTCCCGGCTAAATATATTTCATCGAAAAAGCCAAAAAAGAGGGAAAAAGTTTAGTTACTGCTAATGATGATTATACCCTTTTATACATTTTTTGTTACAATATACCCCTCCACATTTCTATTACTGCTAATAGTGGTAGTAGTACAAATAAATTTTAACACTTCGATTAAATGAGATCAACGGTTCATACTGTCTTCCAATAATAATAGAGAGCACCACACTGAGGCTCAAGAAAATTTTGAATATATTTTTAGTGTAACACGAACAGAATATGTATGAATCAGAAATTTAATTACAGGTTACATACTTATTAATCCATCAATTAATTATTACATGAGTATTTAATTCTATATTAATTATTACATGAGTATTTAATTCTAGTACGGCGCATGCAGGCCCAGTGCATCAGCTTCGACGAGCAGATAGAGGGGGACTACCACAGAGTCCACGAGGCGCTGGGGAAGCAGCTGGGCATTCCTGGGGCCAAGGCCCACCTTGCCAAATCGCTCTTCGTCGTCGCCATCGGCGGCAACGACATCATCAACGACCTCCTGCTGAGTCCCGTCAGCGAGCTCCTACGCTCCCGAGATGAGATCGTCAGCAATCTGGAAAATACCCTCAAACGCCAGCTGCAGGTACGTATACTTATGCTTGCAAAACGATCTTGCAATTAAGGTCAACGTAACATCAGGCCGGGTTTTTGCAGTTTCGGTTTCGAAACAGTAATTTCAGACACCCCCACCGGCCGGCTGGACCAAAATTTTCGAATTTTCTCAAATGTTTATGGATTTAGTAACATCACATCACCTTCGTTGCTCTCCATACAATTCTCCATGTGCTTACTACTATCTCCATTTCATTTTATAAATCATTTTGATATTTTTTTTTCATTTCAAACTTTCTTAAGTTTGACCAAGCCTTCTACCTATTATATACTAAAATTTTATTAAACTTCTTATGAACGCTTCTAAGCCACCATGCGTCATTGCTTCCGAGTCGTCACATGGCACTTTAATAAAATAGAGTAATATAATCATCGATTTTTATTTAATTTGGTGTACCATTATTTTAGATCAATAAATCTATTTAAAAACAAAACTACCTTGATCTATATATATTAAAAAAAACAAAAACTCCCACTGTCCCAGCTGCCTAAATGCGGCGTACACATGTATGTATGCTCCCTCCGTTACTATATCGCTCTCCTCTTTCTGTCCTCGTAATAATTGAAATTAAAATTACTTTCACGGGGAAAAAAACCCACATGTAGACCTCGACCTAGCTAATAAGTCCAGCCAGCTTTCCCTCTATCCCTTTATCCATTAATATTTATAGTCTATTAAACAACATACAAATATTTCTAAACCACTACGTGGAACTACGGAATTAAAAAAAAAATTTGACCATCGGTTTCTAATTGATTTGATAGGCACATTATTTTAGGTCGTTAGATCTATCATTTTTCTTAAAAAAAGCATCCCAAACCTCCATCCCCAGTAAACATCCTATAAGCATTTCTAAATAGATACGTGTACTCTAAAATTAGATAAAATCTTAATATTCAAACATTTTACCAGGACAAATAAAATTGAAATATCTAAAGTTTTATATAGAATCTATCAAAAAATTGGACTTTTTGGTAAATTTTTTTGGTACGATATCCTTCTGGGGAGACGAAATACCCAAAATTTTCTCATTAGAATCACATATATTATTTTAACACAGTATTTTCTCATAAATTGAAAATTGCACGGTTTCAAATAATTTTAGTATAGAATTTATATGCTGCAATGGTAATAATTAGAAAAAAAAATCATAACCAACGTTCAAAACACATCAAATAAGTTTAATTTTAGTTTAGGATATAGTAAAAGAATATTTAAATTAACAGTCACTCTAACATGAACATTCATAATAAAACTTCACGCACATTAAATAAGATGCCCACGTATATATGCGGGCTACCTTCGTACTTTATAGAAAAAATTTACAATACCTAAAATGCCAAATTAGTTTATGTAATATAGAATTCAATATATTTTGTTAATTTGTTTGTTTTCTATTGGAAATGCTACTATATTTTTTTTATAAAATTAGTTTAGACTTAAATAAGTTTGATAAAAGAAATCAAAACGACATGTAATATGAATAAGGAGTGCAAATCTATCATGATTTTAGACCTTGTACGACCTTGGGATGCGACGGTTGTTCTTCGTGGGGATAGCACCGCTGGGATGTTGCCCGTTGATACGGGAGCTGAACCCCACCAAGGAATGTGATGCTCAGGCCAACTACATGGCAACTCGGTTAAACGATGCGGCGGTCGTGCTCCTCCGCGACATGAGCGAGACGCATCCGGACTTCACCTACTCCTTCTTCGACACATACACCGCGGTGCTCCAGTCCATTCGTTACCCAGAGGCACATGGTACGTATGTACTCCTTCCATTTTAAAAGTATAGCAAACCTACTATACTCCCTCTTCCACTTTTTAATATATAACATCATTGTTTTTTAACGTGATATTTGATCATTCGTCTTATTTAAAAAATATAAATATTATTTATTTTGTTTTGACTTATTTTATCATAAAAGAAATTATAATTCGAACTTATCCTTTCACATATTTATACTAAAATTTTAAATAGGTTGAATGATCAAATGTTACGTGAAAAAGTGAATTGTGTCATATATTAAAGAAAAAGGAGGTAGTACATATATTAGACGGCACCGGGGTAGTACTATAAATCTATACAGGAATTAGATTACTATATATATTAAGGTGAAGAGAATATGGTTTATTAGGATTAAGATTCTCCACATTTGTCACTTTATTCAGTGATTTTGTTTTTTTAATAGGCTATAAGGAGGTTAAAGCAGCGTGCTGTGGCCTAGGAGATAACAACGCCATGTTCCTATGCTCGCCGGCGAGCGTGTACTGCGACAACCGGACGAGCTACATGTTCTGGGACGTCGTCCATCCCACGCAGGCCGCGGTTGAGAAGCTTATGAAGATTGCGTTTGATGGATCTGCGCCGTTGGTTTCCCCGAAAAATATCAAGCAGCTCACTGAGAGTTAGGCATTATATAAAGCCAAGAGTACGTGTCTACTGGTACTACTATACTATACTACTATTATCACCACTGGAGAAATTTTGAATCATTAATTTAGGAGTTATATTTAGTGCCAGTAACTAACGTGGTAAAGTAAACAAGGGATTTGCTAGATTTGAGGTGACTGATATTAATTTGTAAATTTACAGTCTCCTAAAATTACACATTTTGCAAAGTTTAAAATTGCATAGCTATACAATGTGAAACTTTACTTATTTTAACTATGATTTTTGTTGTTATATATATCCATGGTTTCACTTTATTTTTCTCCATGTTTGATTTTTTTCATTTAATTATGTATTGTGTATAAGCTATAAGTTTATTTCATTCAATTTTGTAGGTTAGAATAATTTATTGTACAACCTTTTGCCTAAAGAAAGAACGTCATTGTAATAAAAAAACAATAGGATGATCACAATCATTAGATTATCGTACGATGGAGGAGAAAAGTCACCAAACCTTTTAAAAATTTGAGGTACCGGAAATCCAGAAACTTTCAAATATGTGGTCTAGATCAGAGTACTGATAAAGACCATTGGAAAAGAGTAGAGTACATCACTAGTTTCTAAGGCTTCGTTCGTATGTGCGAGTCCTGATCCGGTTCATGTTCCGTGCACTGGAAGCGTGGTCCCGCACACAGTACCAAAACGACGGCTTGTGAGGCGACGTTAACGGCGTTAACGGATGTGAGAAGTTGCCTTTGCGCCTCGGCTTTTCCGTCGGAGTTAGGGCATCCAATGCTCTCGATCCCTCTTTCTTCCTCCTCTCGCTGTTGCTCTCTTGCTTCCGCGGTCGTCGATGCGACGCAGGCCTGGAGGAGAATCGATTCCCCTCCGCTGTAGGCTCCCGTCCTCCCCGATTCTCGCCAGCCACCCTCCTCCCCTTTCGACTGTGGCTTGCAGGCCCGTGCCCCCCCCCAATCGATTCTCGTCCGCGCGTCGTCTTGCGGCAGCGGTCGGTTCAAGGTGCTCAAAATCGGGGGGAAGTGGAAGAGCCCCACGCCTGTCGAGCTGTCTGCGTCGTCCTCGAGGGGAGAAAAAGCTGGCCGGCGTGCTCGCTGTGAAGCAGCAAGCATCGGCGCCCATCAGGCCGCCCATCTTTGGCAGTCTGGCTGCCTGTGTGCTCGTCCTCTCGGCCTCTCAGGTCAGACAGTGCTGGCTTGAAGAGTCTCATCAAGGCATCCAAGCTGGCGGAGTTGAGGAGCCAGCTCTATTTCAGGACGAGCGTGTGCGTGGTCCGATGGAGACGAGAGTGAAGAAGCGGAAGCAAGAGCGGGATCTATTGTCGATCCAAGAGGAGGGGACGATTGTTCAATCCCCTCAAACAGGGGAGATCTCTGTCCGCGGCGCCGATCTAGAGTCCGGCGAGGACTCCTCCGACTCTGTCACCTCCGACGCTGGCAGCGCCAAGGCTGCTCCCGACGACGTGCTTCATATCGCGCATGCCCTCTACAAGGTTTGCGCCAAGTCTCCTAGAGCCGTCATCGACTTTGTTCGAAGAGTGAGCCCTGCCACCGTCGGCCGTTCGATTGATTGGGACGTCGTCCGTGAGGAAGAGTCATCGAAGGTATTGGTTTGTATTAATTTGTTCATTTCCGATTCAATTTTGTTTGACTTGCACGTAGTAGATGGGCGATGGCCGTAGCCGGTGGACCGATATGGAGGTTCGTGTGTTTCTTGAGAGCTGCTTGGAGGAGATGGCAGCGTTCACCATCACCTCCAACTCCCCCAAGCCGCAGGCATGGCAGAACCTAATACACAAGATGTACACCAAGTGTAAGAAGAAGGTGAACAAGGCTCAATTGGAGTACATTTGGGGGCAGTGTAAGAAGCGGTACAACAGGTGGGTGTGGCTAGAATCACATGCAAGCGGGCTGGGTCGTGATCCCCATACATCAGCCATTGTTGCCGATGATGAGTGGTAGGAAAGCAAAAATGCGGTACGTACACTTGACAATAAATATTTTGAACCAACAATTTTTCCTACAAGAGGTATTATCTGAAATTTAGTACATGCATGCAGTTATAAATACAGTTTTGTGAGGTGTAATAATTTTTTTGTTCAAGTTGTGTGTGCCAACAAATGACTAGCTGCAGTAAAATGGAAGGATTGTGCTCACATATGTTTCATAGTTGTTACTGTCATGTCGTTTTTAGTAATGTGTGCCATTCCCTTGTATTTAAGTTAACAAAATGATGTTTACACTATTTACCATGAACTGATTGGCAATGATTGCGAGAAGTAAATGATCTTGTACATGTGACATTCAAAAGCATTTTAACAGATTCACATGTGTTTAATTGTGAAGGATATAGCTTACACAATGTAGCATTCTATTAGCTTATGCAATGTAGCAGTCAATGTAACATGGTAATGCTCATAGGTTTTGTTCTCTGCATAAACAAAATCTATATGCAGTGTATCAGTAAATTAGGAAAGATCTTGTACAAGTCATTTAGGAACATGTTAATACATATTCAACTAGCTGTACACACCTTCTTTCTGATGTATATAGAGAGAATGAACAAAAATGTGCTCATCTACAAAGAATATAACATATGCAGTTTATCTTATGTTTACAATGTTCAAACTATCTTTCTTTCATTCTGTCAGATGTGTGGCCCATTGTAACATGTACTCCTGATTATATTTGATAACTTGGTACCAATGTGCACATTTACTGCCAGCATTTTAGTAGTAATGCACATTGGACTGCACATATTCATTACGTTCAATGTTTGCACAAGCCTAATGCACTTGCCTTGTACTAACTTGTTTTTACTGTCTACTTATGTTGCAGCAAAATAAAGGTGTCTTAAGCTTCAGGAATGATCCTCTGAAGCACATTGACCTTCACCACGCGGTATTCAGTGGGCGCACAGTTGTCGGAAACCACTCCGCCGTCGCAGGGGCAGCCCCAGCCGCACCGCAAGGAGCAGTTCAGTGGCAGACCATCGACATGGCGCAGCTCGCTGCTGCTTATAGACCACCACCTCCAACTCCACCCCCAACGGCAGCAGACCGGGGCAAGGGAAAGAGGCCAGCAGCAAACACTCCTGCCTCAGGGAGTTCTTCCAAGAAGTCCCGAAGCGACTCCGCTGGACTGGCTTTGGAGAGGATTGCGGACATCCGAGAGCAGAGCTACCAGAGTCATGCTGCTTAGATGGAAGCAGAGAAGTCTATGGGCCTTGATGCGTGCATGGAGTTGGTGGAAAATGATGGCCATGAAATTGGAGGAAGTGTGTGGTATGCTGCTTGTGCGCTATTCCGTGACCCATTGACCTGCAAATGCTTTGTTCAACTCAAGGACGCCTCTAGGCGCTTGGAATTTATACGCACTGGTGGTACTGGACAGTCATCTGGTGGCACCAAACTGTACTTTACTTTGAGTTGTGATGTGCGATGTTTTCCAAATAAACTAGTATTTATGTTTAGAACTCTGTGTGCTAACAATTTTTACATTCTGTGAGTCCCTAAACATTTGCGGCTTTATATCCAATTCGAGCAACTACGTATTCCATTGCATTGCTTTTATATCCAAATAATTCTTCGATTGCATAGATCACTGCCATTATTAATTTCTATCCTTTTGATTATGACAAACATTGCGTATTCTCCGGTTCTCATATGTTAAAGGAAATCGGCGATGAGTTACGGCGCGGGTGGATCGAGTTGGAATGGAGGCGGTCACACAAGCAGCAAAGAAGAAGATGCCATCATTGAGTACGTGGCTGCTACCCTTGATTTCAATGAGAGGGCACCAAGGAGAATACCGGTGCAAACCGGTATCAGTTGGATGATGGACACGATGGCAAATCGAAGCCAATGCAGGGCAATGTTCAGGCTTACTGCGGAGGAGATACACAATTTGCATGATCTATTGGTCACTTCTTTTGGTCTTGTAGGAACAGCAGGGGTCTGTTCCATGGAAAAGCTTGGTATTTTCTTGTACACGATGGGTGGAAATCGTCCAATCAGAGACGGGAACAATCGGTGGGTCCGCTCCAACTCGACAGTGTCGGTTCACTTCCACCATGTTTTGCAGGCTATGAATGATCTCGCTGGGAAAATATTGAAACCGGTTGATCCCAACTTCTTAGATTACAACCCTCAGATTCTGCAAGAGAATCCTTTCAAGCCTTTCTACCAATCAGTGGGAGCTGTGGATGGCACACATATTCCAGTTCTGCCTAATGCAGCTAGCGCTATGCAACACAGGAACCGTCACCACATAACAACCAGAAATGTTCTAGTAATATGTGATCATGATGGGAGAATTATTTTCTGTGATGCTGGCTGGCCTGGATCAGTTCACGACCAAAGGATTCTCAATGAGGCAGTGCAGGCTTACCCCTACGATTTCCCACGGGTACCGTTAGGTGAGTTGTATCAGTCAATACACTTTTTTTTATTGCCAAATGTCTTGATTTTATTTAATTCTACACATGTGCACTAATATTTAATTCTGCGCCGTTAACCAGGCAGGTACCTACTTGTCGACTCCGGATTTCCTACCAGGATGGGATTCCTTGCACCGTACCCACATGTACGGTACCACAGGGATCAACTTGCGGTCGAGGGAGCCCCACCACCCGTAGGACGGGAAGAGACTTTCAACCATCGACACTCCACGTTGCGAGGGATCGTGGAAAGACAATTTGTCATCGCAAAAAAGATGTGGAAAATATTGAAAGAAATCCCTTATTACCGAGATGAGGACATCCCTGCACGCATCATTCATGCAGCTTTCGCTCTACACAACTTTAGGTTGGATAGTAAAGATCCGACCTATCGGTTCACTAATGCTCTCTACAACGGCAATCCAGTGCCGCTGCTGAACGATTCATTCGACCATATGTATTACGCAACAAATAGCGAGGCCGCTATGAGCATGTTGCGTGACTGTATTGCTGATGATGCGTACAATAACTACCATTAGGTAGGTGATGTTACCCATAATGCTTGTCGTATGTTCAGTACTTCAATTTTCAAGATTGTATGGTTTACCATTTATTTTTATAACGTTAACAACAAATTTGATGCACCGAATCTTGTGTTATTTGTTTCACAATTCATTTTTTTCTTAATTCTTGCGTTATTATTTCAGACAAAAAATTAATCAATGTTATTGCAAAATTTATGTCCGAATCTTCACATATTATGAAAATTATTATGGTAAGAAATACTGCGTCATTACGAAATGGTTTTCTGCTACTGCATAGCACAATTGCGAAATTCAATCTACATACAATCTATTATTTC